AAGAACAAGCAAAATGAGCTAATCTAATCTAGATAAGGCTGCTGTTGCCGAACTGGGTAGGATGAGCATCACTGAATCCTTGCTGCTGCTGGCGGTGGGCYYRGRGCCTGTTGCTGCCGGCGGCGATGGTACGTCTTCCCGAGGAAGGCGTCCATAACATGTTCATTCATTGATCTAGAGAAAGTATATGATAAAGTCCCTACAGAGATAATATGGTGAGTTTTGGAGAAGGGGTTCCAAATATGCATATAAACCTAATTAATGATATGCATGAGGATAGACCAACCAATGTTACATAGATGTGTGCGCCTTTTTGAAGAAAGCTGCAAAGATGCAAAAAAAAAAGCTTAAATTACTGATAAAAAATATAAACTTAACAACTTTGAGGTGGCAGGGGACTTTCAAGTGGTAATAGGATGTCTCTGAAGCAACAACTCAGGGACTTATCTCTGTTTGAATTTCATAAGTCAGAGCAAAACCTTATGGTTTATTTGTGTTCATTCGTGATTAAAATATAGTATTGTTATTCTTTTTCTCATCTCTACCTTCAAACAAGGAATTAAATATCTTTTAGAGATTTGTAATGGACTATGGTATTCTTTTTTGTTCGTTTTTGTAAAGTTTGTTTAATTGCTAACATGTATGCTGATTCTTTGGCCTTTGTCATTGAATATTGGTAATACAAGGTCCCCCTCCTCTTGGGTGGGAGAAAGTGAATAATGTATTGCATTTGTGCAAAAACTGTAAAACATGTATAAATGTGACCCAGGTACAATGAAAAATTATGCAGTTGGGTAAGATAAGTGGCCACTACCCTCCCATATAACACGCATGCATGAAAAATGGCTTTATAAGCCAAAGTTAAACTTTCAGAGAGGAAAACCATATGAATAAAAATTACAATCTATTTTATAAACCCCTTTAAGATGGACAGATAAAGTGCACCACATCCAGCTTTTGTTAATGCCACTTATTAGGATCTTTTTTTATCCATTTTTATTTGATTTTTTCATCAAAATCCTTACCTCTAGATAGGTCATGTGGTAGGAAAGGGATGATTCCCTAAGAGCCTTGGCTCTTCCACTCAGTCTTGTCACTTTCCGTGTTGGAAGGTTGGTGCTTTCTTTTGGTTTGATGGTTCATTTCCTAGAGTAGGGTTGTTCCCTAATCCCTACTCCCTACTATATGCATATAATAGGGCCTAGAGGTGACTTCAACTTTTTATCTACTGTCGCATTGAATAGAATGGATGGATGGATTTGTTCATCATCTTTTTCATTGATAATGGCCTAACTTAGTGGGTTGGTTTGTCGTTGGGGGGTTATCCATTATATTTTGTGTAAAGCAAGTAGCTTTGCATTCGTTGGGATTAATGTTAGGTGGAAGAGGAGGTTGTTGTGAGACAAGAATTGTTTTCTCTGGGATTTGAAATGTTAAGTTTGCTAGTAAATAGGTTTTTCTGTAGTTTCCAGGCTTGGGTAATTTGGTTGTTTTTGATTTATTTGGTCTTTTAATTTCAATTATATTTATTCGATCTCTTTCTTTGAATATGGTACTGGTGTGCTGATGGTGAATATGATATAAGGTTGGTCCCAACTCAGTGACCTGGACTGTGTTTCAAATACTAATACTTTGTAATATCTCCCTGTTCCATTTTGTAATTTTTGCATGAATATACTGTCATTTTTGTATCACCTTCTAATGTTGTATGGTGAGCACCTATTTTCTGCTCTAGGTATTCAGTGGAATCCCCACTCTCTGCACAGTTGTTTCTTGTATGCTTTTAACAGTTGTACTGCTTTTACCGGCAAAATGACAGTTGTTACTATACTATAGTGGTGGCTGTTTCCTTTGCTTCTAATGGTGCTTGTATATTGTTTTGGTGATATTGAGCAGTTTTATCTTTTGACATGTTGCATTCTGTTTTCAGGTTCCGTACACGTTCATTACTTCGTGATACAATTAATCCCATGCTCATAGACAACATTCCTGGCCGCCAAAATGATCGGAAAACACTTCTTGGTGAACTTAACTGGATTTTTACAGCAGTGACTGACACTATTGCTTGGAATGTCCTCCCTCATGGTAACCAGCTACTATACATTTTCTAAGTAATATTTATCTTCTATTCTTCTTTTCCTTCCCCCGCTCTCTCCTTTGGTGTATCCTGTAGTCAATACTGAACTTGGCTTCCTGCAGAACGTTTTCAGAGGTTGTTCAGGCAAGACTTACTAGTTGCCAGTCTATTTCGAAATTTTTTACTTGCTGAACGGATTATGCGATCCGCAAATTGTTCACCAATTTCATATCCAATGTTGCCTCCAACTCATCAGCATCATATGTGGTAACTATCTCTAGAAAAGTCTTCATGACACTCTTTTTAGGTAAACTGAAGCAATACTGTCTCGAATATTCCTACTCATTTCTTCTTATTGGTGTTACTTTTGGTACAGGGATGCATGGGACATGGCTGCTGAAATTTGCCTTTCTCAACTACCTTCCTTGATTGAGGAACCAAATGCAGAGTTCCAGGTGTCTGCTTTGTTTGTATTTCTTCATTCAAGAGTTGTGTAGTTTAGAGAACGATAGTTGAATACTGCACTTTGCATTTTCTATTGCCATTAGAAAAACTTGAGTTGTTTCTGGTTTAACTTGCAGCCAAGTCCTTTTTTCACGGAGCAGCTGACAGCTTTTGAAGTATGGCTTGACCATGGATCTGAGCATAAAAAACCACCTGAGCAGTTACCCATTGTTCTTCAGGTGAGGTGCTTTCTAGGTGGTCCCTCTCAAGCTGAAGGATATATTAATTGTATCAAATTATATATTATGGTACTTACATTTTTGGGCATCTGGGCATCTCCTGGAAAGATCTCTTTCTTTATCCTTTAGTGAGTAGTCTTGGTTGAACTGTCTTAGGTGAACCATGCCTTATCTGTTGCCATACATCTTCAAAGTTAAAACATGTTGATTGGTTAATAATTTATAATTCTACTCATATCCTTTGTTGGAGGAAATGTAAGGTAGTTTCAGTCTTTCAGAGCCACACTATAGGAGGCATGTTTTGAAACATGGAATGTCATTATTTCCCTTTAATGGGGGCGAGGACCCCATGATATTGTCCATGGCATCATTCAGGATTTGCTATGATAATCATTCAACTACACATCGGATTGCATAAAACAATTCAAATTTCATGTTTATATTGGTTTGGATAGAGTTTTTGTGCTGGCAGGAAGGCCTTTACCCTGTCATACCCAGATACTTGTACATGCCTAGTTCCAAAGACTAGATACAAAGTATGATATGCACGTATTATATGTGATACCTGTTCCTGTATCCATGTCTGAGGTTTCAGGAAATAGAGTTGTAACGACATTTCCCGTACTGTATACATGCCTATATCTGGTTATCATACCCATTATCCAGTATCAGTCCCTGCTATACAGGGTCTTGGGTGGGATGAACTGAATATGGAGATAACCTCTGTTTTATTTTATTTTATTTTTTTTGCAGAGTGTATACTCTCATACTTGAAGCTGCATTCTCATGCTTGTCAATGGATATTTTACAATTGCACCAATCAATTCCCCTTTGGCAACTACTCTTCAGATATGAAACAAGATGATAAATACTTAATACTTGAGTGCTACAAGATGAGTACCATCTAGAGATGGTGATGGTAAATGCTGTCATTGCCATTGTTATGGTTTTTTGGCAGTATTATTGCCATTCCCTTGCTGATTTGATGCAAGAGCTAATTGTATAGAATATTGTTGTTTTTGTCCTTCCTATATTTCTTTACTTCCTATATTTTAGAATGTTCTTCACTCATTCCTTTTTGAGTTGTACAAAAGGTGCTTGATTATTTCTTTCCTTTCTCATTTTATTCTTTACAGAAACTGATTTTTGTGGTCTTTGACCTCCCTTGTTATTTCTTTTATGCCTAAATATTGATCCATTGTTGTAGGTTTTGCTTAGTCAATGCCATCGCTTTCGTGCACTGGTACTTCTTGGAAGATTTCTTGATATGGGCCCTTGGGCTGTTGATCTGGTAATTATTTATCTCTTCTGTTTGTCCCTGTACATTGTTTTCTTTGTCAATGTATGACTGTAGTTGCTAGGTATGCCATTCTTACTGAATATATGAACCGCTGCTGCTTTTGTAGGCCTTATCTGTTGGGATCTTTCCATATGTACTCAAGTTGCTTCAAACAACAGCAATGGAGTTGAGGCAAATTCTTGTATTCATTTGGACAAAGATCCTTGCACTTGACAAGGTTTTTCTCTATCCATTTTGGAATTCATGGATGGCATTTAAAATTTAGCACATTCTTTGACTTCAACGCAGAAAAAAAGCGAGGAACCATATGACTTTTTTTTTTTAATCAGTAGAGGAACCATATGATTTTAATTTGTCATGTTGAGTAGTAGTCAGTTACAGAAGCATTTGCATTGTTGACGGGGCCCTTTTTCTCTAGGGTAGTAGTATTTTATCTTGTATCAGAAAGCAAAATGCACATGATTTCAGTCAACTGAGCTCGTTTTACTTATTCTCTATTTGAGGTTATAAAATCTGCTAGTATCAGTCTCATTTCATATTTAAATTTAATTTTTTGTATCCTTTAATATTTAGCAGTGTTGCCATTGTGGTGAGGCAGTGACTAGTTGTATGGCTTCCCTAGGCAATGCAGTGACTAGGCGCTGACTAGTTGACAGGAAGAAACATGTTCTACATTTAAGATATTGATGCAATATTGGTTGTACATCAATACAAACTACAAATATGCATTGAAATAATGATATAGATTATTTAATTTATTGTCTATTCTTTTGCAAACATTAAAAAGAAGGCTGGATAGGTTAAGATAGGGGGTGACAATCCTTGTCTTTCAAGGAATGACTGGAATTTGACTATTGGTGTGGTATCCTTGTAAGTGGCAATTGAACACCAGTACACTGCTGGGTGGAAGAAGTAGAAGAACTTAAAATAAATAGTTTTGCATATACCAAAATAAAGGTACATATGATATTATTTTAAATGGTTAGAGATAAATATGGGAAAATAAAACTTATTTTGTGGTTGACTGGATCATTTAGGCTGCTAGCCTTTAATCAACCTAGTCAATATAGTTGATTCTTGGTCAGTATTCACCCTAGGTGATCACAAAATAAGTGTTGTCTAACTAGTTAGTGATGCAGTTTTTGTGTGTTCCTCGATTGACTAGTCATTTGATTAGTTGGCACTTTGATAACACTGATATTTGGTTTCTTTTCTTTTTCAGTAACAGTATCTCATTGTCTTCTATTATTTGCGTATTTTCTTTTGTCGTCTTGTTAAGTATGCATTTTTGAAATACTATCCATCTTTTTTTTTGTGGAATTTTAGTCTTGCCAGGTTGATCTTGTAAAGGATGGTGGGCACATATATTTCATCAGGTTCCTTGATAGCATGGAAGCCTATCCAGAGCAGCGGGCAATGGCTGCATTCGTTTTGGCTGTCATTGTTGATGGGCACAGACGGGGTCAGGAAGCTTGTATTAAAGCTGATTTGTTACATGTTTGCTTGAAACATCTTCAAATTGCAATTCCCCATGACACACAGACTGAGCCATTACTTCTTCAGTGGCTTTGTCTCTGTGTAGGGAAGCTGTGGGAAGATTTTCTAGAGGCACAGACAATAGGTTTGCAGGCAGATGCACCTGCAATTTGTGCACCTCTACTGTCAGAGCCCCAACCTGAGGTTTTGTTTCTGTATTTCATTATTTCTTGCTTTTCTCTCATTGGGTTTAATAGTTCTTTGAGGTCTCCTACCAAATCTTGCAACCTTGACACATATGAAACTACCATGTTTCAGGTTCGAGCTTCTGCTGTTTTTGCTCTGGGCACCCTTCTTGACATTGGAACTGACTCGTGTAGAGGGGTTGGAGCGGATGATGACAGTGATGATGATGAAAAGATTAGGGCTGAGATAAATATTATTAGAATCCTTTTGACTGGTGTTTCAGATGGAAGCCCATTGGTCAGGGCTGAAGTTGCTGTAGGTATGTAACCAGACAAACTTCACTATTAGGCTATCTCTTTTATATGCTGGGAAACAGCTAGGATTTTAATGTGCTTTTGCTAATTTTAAAAAATTCAAACAGATTATACCCTTCTAGGCATTCATGTCCTATCGTTATAACTTCCTGGTTATTGTCTGAAAGAGGGGGAAGAGCTTGATTGTGAAGGGAAAAGCTTCTTGTTTCCCACAAGAATGATGGCATTTTATCTTGTCTCCTTGTTTTCCCATGTTCCATATGATTGTGAGTCTGCAAGGAACAGGAGGTTGGGAGCATGATTGTGGTTGCACAGAAACTAGGTAGCATGGAATTATTGGAAAAGGGGACTGAGTGAATAGTAGAAATGTAAAAGATAAAGGGTTAATGAACGGAGGGTGGGAGCATGATAGTTGCGCAGAAGCTAGGTAGCATGGAAAGGGGTTAATGGTTGTGAGTCTGCAAAGAACTGGAGGGTGGGAGCATGGTTGTAGTTGCATAGAAGCTAGGTAGCATGGAAAAGGGGGCTGAGTGAATAGTAGAAATTTAAGGTGTGTATGCATGTCCACATCTTTGTCTTTGATAAGTAAGAACTTTAAGGGCATTTTTTAATCTTAATGAAAAAATTCATGGAAAAGAGGTTGACACCTTTATGATGGAAAGTTGTCTAGAATACACTTTAATGGATGCATCAAGCTGAACTTTGATGGATTCAGTCTTGGAAACCTGGGATTATTTGGCATAGTGAGTATTTAGAAATTAGAATTTCTGGACTTTCAGTGAAGTTATTGCAGTTACTGATCAAAAGAAATAGAACTTTTCTTGCAGCTATGGTTTGATTAGAACTTTGGTTGAGCTTTCAAAATTCTTTTGTTTCTGATTTTGAGGGCAACCAAAATGAGATATCTATGGACTGTAAAATCCTTATAGTTTCAGTGAATAAATAGGATAAAACCAGATACGTAGAAGAAATAGGAGCGATGAAATTGAGATTGTGAAAATAATAGCATGGATGTGCTATTTTTAAATATCTTACTGTTTTGAAAACAAAACAACATGAACATGGCATAAAAAAAAGGAAGTGATAGAAATAAAAGCTTTATTTATCACAGTTATCTTTTTTTGATGAATTATTTTTTTGATAAATTCTTAAATTTATGGGTTCCAAAATTAATTCAAAACTTTTTTTTTGATGAATAATAAAACTTTTATTAAGATTGTTGATAAAATCATTTCAAAACTTGGTTGCATATTGAAATTTTAATCCATACCATGGGACTTTTCCTGTAAATGTTCACCTATGGAGTTTTGCACTTTGGGCCAATGATTGATGATGCATCATCCATTTTGGCATCTAACAGCTTTGAATTTTAGTTGTCATAAAGGAGACATTATGACATTTTTCTCAGAGCCAATTGGCCAAGTTGGCTCAATAAGGGCTGAACTGGCAGCAGTGTTGAAAGGCCTTAGGTTAGCCAAATCTCTTGGTGCCAATTGGCCAATCCTTTTGTTCTATTTCCAAAGAACAGAAAGACAGTATTGTGGGTTTATAGAGCATCTTAGGGATATTAGACTTCTGGCAGAGAAGCTAAAAACTGGTTATAAGTGGATCCCAAGATATGCCAAGTACTTGGCAGATGCATTAGCAAAACTAGGAACCACTAGGAATATGCTATTTTGGGGTTTGGTCCCTTAAGGGATTTGCAAGAATAAGAGATGGGTGGTTAGTGGTATTAGGCCAAATGAAGGGGTGCATCTGGCATGTCTTTTACAAAGTATTCTTTTACACCAATAAAAATATTAGTTACTGATGAAAAAAATGTCATGGAGGAAAATTTGCAAGATTATCAAAAAAAGGAGAAAAAAGGAAAAAAAGGAAAAGAAATAAATGACCATCTTGATGTAAAAAGATAGTGAAAAGGTCATTTCGATCTCTGGGATACATGTCATATATACATAATTCTCTCTTTTATGTGTGTTAATTTAGAAATATGCCTTGCCTGTAGTTTCTATTTGGACAATCATTAATAAAGGCCTTTACCACTATACTTATATTTTCTGCTTAGGTTTTAATTTGTGTTACATCTGATATTGCTTCAAGATTTATCAATCTTTCTCTTTATATTTAAATTGGTTTTGCTAACATAGTGTTGATTATGCATGGACTATTGTTTCATCCATTGTGCCTTAAACTGCACTTTCAATAAGTTTATTTGATTCATTTCCATAAATAAAAAATAGATTAGCAGTGATCTGTTAATGATAACAAAAAGCTGGATATATTTTGACAGTTGGGTTATTTTCTGACAGCTCTTGCACGCTTTGCCTTTGGTCACAATAGGCACCTGAAGTCAATTACTGCTGCATATTGGAAGCCACAGTCTACCTCTTGGCTAAATTCTTTACCATCATTGGCTAGCATTAGAAATCCAGGAAGTTGCTATACCAGCACAAGTCAGTTTATCCAGCATGGAGGTGCAATTCCTTCTCAAATTGGTCCTGTTACGAGAGTCAGCAGTGACAGCACAACTATGGGTCGAGATGGTAGGGTTTCCACCAGCAGTCCCCTTTCTGCTTCAGGAATAACACATGAGTCTCCATTGTCGGATGATTCATCTCAACATTCTGATTCTGGCATACTATTAAATGAAAATGTCACTAATGGAGTAATTAACTATTCAAGGTCTAGATCTCTTGACAGTGGAATATATTCACAATGTGTATTGGCTATGTGTACCCTTGCCAAAGATCCATCACCTCGAATTGCAGGCCTTGGTCGACGAGTACTATCCATAATTGGTATTGAACAGGTTACTAAGACACCACGGTTCAATAATGGCAACATTCGGCAGGGGGATGGTGCAACTACGCCTCCAATCCCTAATCTTGTTGGACTGGCAAGATCTTCTTCTTGGTTTGACATGAATGCAGGTAAGTTCTGATTAGCTTTTTATGTGGTATGACTTGCATCTCCTTATTGTTGTTTGTTTATGATGATGCATACAAAAATCCATATATGGTACATTGAATTCTTTCCATGGAGATGCGAACTGCACATTTTATTTAACCTCTGAACCCTCTTCTATTGAAAATCAGCTATTAAAATACAGGGCAATTCGAATCGGTTTGTCTGGAAATAGCCTAGTGATGGAACCAACCAGAAGAAACAAATGATATCTTCCATAATTGGATTGTAGGGAGGCGGTTTCATCTGGTGGAAGAGTGAAGCAGAGATTGGAGTTGTTGGATGCATGCCTAGTTGGATGGTTTGTGAAATCTGTTCTAGACATCAAGGAGGTAGCAGCAGGTTGGGCAATGGCTTAATGGAACACATTACTTCTGGTAGAGGGGAGAAAATTGGTTGCTGACATTGGAAAACAAACATTATAGAAGTCTTGAGTTCCATAACCATTGGTCTCTATTGGCTCGAGTGCTAAGGCTCATTCCACATTGAAGTTAGTGTGGATTAATTTGGTAGAGATACTGCTTCATGCATGTGGTATGGGAACCTTAATTGCTATCGATAACAGTGGGAAAAGTAGATTGTGTAGATGGAAGGAAATTGAAAGGTCAAAAGCATGAAGAAGATAATGAAGTGGCTCATGGGAAAAAAGGGGCAGATGGGGAAAACTAGTGGAGGGTGGGAGACATATGACGTGTATAAAAGAAAATAATTGAGAAAGGTGTAGTATGGGGAAGAATTATGGTTAATTTTGGTATGCGGGGAAGGCTCAATAAATAACGATTGTGCATTTATGAAGTAATGGCAATTATCTGTATAATTGGGGGGGGGGGAGGGGTTGGAGTTGGGTAAGATATCATGACAGAAGACAACATATAAGTTGGATGGTAGAGGAGAGAAGCCAGTTTATAATGGAAGTTCGGATAGTAAGAGAACTTACTATCGAAAAAAATTCATACTACAGAGGGGGACATGAATGTGGAACATGGTGTATTAGTAATATGGTGGAAGATACGTAGACGAGACAAAGCAAACACAAAATCAAAAGGATCATAGTTCAAATGATTGAGTTTTGGTAATCGCCAAATGTTAGTCATATAATGAAGGAATCTTGACTAAAAACAAAATGATAAAAAATAATAGCATAAAAATGGTAAGGAAAGAGAAGTTCATCTTGTGAGGTCAACAAGACTTTGTAGTGAAGAAGATATAGAAAGAAAATCAATGAGAAAAGCCTTTGAAAAAAGTTGTGTGGTGGGAGTCAATATGGATGCTCAAGAAATAGAGGCTATTGCAGGTTGCTTAGAGTGCTCCACCTCATCCTGGCCCTTAACTTATCTAGGTCTTCCCCTAGGAGCTAACCCAAAGGAAAGCCGCTTTTGGATCCCTGTTGTGGAAAAGTTTGGCAAGAAGTTGGCAAGCTGGAAAAAGAATTATATCTATGTGGGGGGTTGAGTGACTTTGATCAAATCCACACTTTCTAATTTGCCGGTTTACTTTTTGTCTGTCTTTAAGATTCCTACTAGGGAAGCTAAGAGGAGAGAGAAGATGATGAGGGACTTCTTGTGGGAGCCAGGGCAAGAGAAGAAGGATCATTTGATTAGATGGAAGATAGTTAGTCGAAGTAAGGAGGAAGGAGGATTATGATTAGGGAATATTACTTTTAAGAATGTAGCTCTTCTAGCTAAGTGGTTGTGGAGATGGCCTTTAGAGAGGGAGAGGTTATGGCATGAAGTGGTGGCAAGTATCCATGGCTGTTCCGGAAATGGTTGGGATGCAGGGGTATCCAGACGAGCAACTCTTGCAACACCTTGGAAGGCAATTCATGGCATCCTCCCACAGTTCCTAAGCTTTGTAAGGTATGATGCTTGCTCTAGGACTCATGTTCTTTTCTGGGAAGACACTTAGGTGGGAAATTTGCCCCCTTAAGGATCTGTTCCCTTCTCTCTTCTCTATTTCCCTTTATAAAAATGAACCTTTGTCTTCTTTTCTTTTGTCCCCGTATACCCCTTTGTCGACAAATTGGGACCTTGGCTTCCGTAGAGGGTTGAGGGATGAGGAATCCTTATCAGTTTCTGAGCTCTTATTGTTACTTGATTCTGTTTGCCTGGACCCACTCATTTCTGATAGGAGGATTTGGACTTTGACTCCGAAAGGGTCGTTTACTTGTTGTGCATCTTTCTTTAATTCCCATTGCTCCAGTTCCTCTCCTCGGGCTTTCCTAGTTAAGGAAGTTTGGTCTAGGCCTATTCCCCCAAAAATAGYTGTGTTTTGTTGGGAAGTGTGCTATGGTAAAATCAATACGATGAATAACTTGTAGAAGAAAAGGCCTTTCTTGTGTTTATCCCCTAACTTGTGTA